AGTAACTGCCTAAAGCTTTTTGGTGAATTAACAGAAATCAAAGTTTCTGTGTAAAAGGTTGTGACTAAAATTGCAATAAAATACTTTAAAAATTTCAGGGAAATATCACTCAGACATTTTTAGCAAGAAATTAAAAACAACTGACCTATATAAGTATTTAGAGGGAAAAGAAGCAACTGCTACTGTTAAATTGAAAAACTTAGGAAGAACAAATTTTATTATGAAATAATGTAAAGAAGGAAAAATTTTCTGAGGATGAAGGAAATAACATCAACATACATTTTTGATTTTAGGCTGTTGGATTAGAGTAGAAAAGGCTTTCCAGTGCCACTAGGAATGTGTCAGCTGTTTGTGCTGTTCCCTTTTTCGACAGCAATCCTTCAGAGTAGGGGTATTGAGTTACTTATTTGAGCAGAAGAAGTCCTGTAGGACCAAAACTGTCTATGCTGACTTCTGTGGGAGAAAGTCACACTGAGACAGTGCTTAAGCAAAGAGTTGTTGGTGAGCAGACCATATCCTCAGGTCTTGCCTTCCGTTGGGTCTCTGATACTGAAATGAGGAGGAGCAGTGAGAGATAGAGCTACAATGATATATAATTTTCCTTTCAATTTAGTACTGTGGGTATTTTGAAGGAATTTTTGATGAATTAGAGATGAGACCTCTGAGTTGCTTTTGATGGTGTGATTTATTTTTCTTGTTTTCTACATAGGCAGGCAGGGTGAATTTGGCTCACGTCTTCACTGTATGGCTTAGGTGGTCACAAGACCTCTAGTTACAAGACCTTTTAAGGATTTATTAACCAATAAAACACTGCTAACAACTCAATCCTTAAATATTTTGTCTTATGGACTCATGCTAGAATGTAAGTTTTCTTAGCCAATCATGTTATGACACATAACACAACCTTACAGTACTACACTTCAAAACTCTAAACTTTCCTCTATTTAGCTTAATGTGTCTCTGCTTTAAAGTATAAATCCATATTCTTGCTTCTAGCGCTTAAGTTTGGAAGCCTTTTCCATGGACTCAGATAAAATCCTGTGTTTAATTCTAAGCTTTGGCCTACAGGTCCAAAGTTCTGAGAATTCCCTGCATTTTGGATTGCAACAATACTACTGAGTTCAAAGTTTGTTCTGCAAAGAAAACCAGTGTATTTAGTTTTTTTAAGGTATTCCCCCTGGTTTATGAGCTGGAAACCCAACTTGGGAATGTCCGACTTTAAGAGGAGGATTATTGTTCTGCTATTGCAGATTCACAAGTAGAAAATTTTCTTAGTATAGTATGTTCTTAAAGCTTACATGTCATCCTGTTCAAAAATGGTATCACAACAATAAAACTAGGAGTGCAAACCAGATGAGCCACTGTTCTTGAGGTTAGCAGTAAGTGCTTTCAAAAGGTAAGGTTTTTTTCCAAAACTACTCATGGTATCTCCTTTCAGCAGTAACAGTATAGTGCAGGGTGCTTGTGTTCTACAATAACTTCTTAGCAGCAAAGTATGAAATGCTTTTGTTCACCTATGAAATACTACTGCATTTAGGTCTACTATTTATATTGTTATAAATTAGCATATCTCTTATTTATTTGAATGTTAATATTTTAATAAAACATGGACCAGCAATTTTTATTTAATTATTTATATAACTTTTCTGATTTGTCTGCGCTTTGTTTGAGGCCTTGGTTACATTTGTTGGTCCATTAGTTTCATTTTGGGAAAGATTCATATCAATTTTTTCCCCCTACTGATATTTGGAATTAAATGTCTGAGCTTGTTAGGGAGTACTGTATGCAGTTGATTTAAAATAATAGTCAGCAACTATTTGAAGGAGAAGAGCAAAGAGATTATGATCTTTATTACATAAATAAACCTGTGTGCTCCTTTATTGCAACAGACTTTTTTTACCAGCATGCATTTTTCTTGTTGTGTTTCCTCTGGCAAGTTGACTTTTGGTACATATATAAACCTTCCAGTACCTACAGGAAAGCTGAAGAGGGACTTCTTACAGGGCCATGGAGTGATAGGACGGGAGGATCAGTTTAAACTAAAAATGAACAGGTTTAGATGTTAGGAAGAAATCCTTCACTGTGAGGATGGTGAGGGACAGGCACAGTTTATCCAGAGAAGTTGTGGGTGTCCCATCCCTGGGGACAAGGCCAGGTTGGAGGGTCCTTCAGCAGCCTGGTCTAGCAGAAGGTATTCCTGTCTAGGGGCAGAGGGATTGAGCTAGATAATCTTTAAGGTCCCTTCCAACACAAGCCATGCTGTGATTATGTGCATTGAAACAGAATGGAAAATAGGTAACTTACCTACTGAGGTGGGTAACTTACCTACCAAGTATACTGGTATCAGTGTACCTACTGATACCTTCATTCTTACTGCAGAATGAAACATTTTACATTTGCAGTGATGAGTATTTTCCAGGCATTTTCATATGCTTTTCAGAATTTAACTTAGCTGTCAGAGTACTCCAAGGATCTAAATATAGCAAACTGTAGTGTTCTGAAGTGATAGTTTAGAATGAATTTCCACATCTCAAAACTAGCACCTGTTAGATCAGAATTATGCCCACTTCTACTGCATTTCACTCTCCATTTCTGGTTCCATGCATATTAATGATGATTCAGTAAGCCTTTTGAGCTTGGCAGTCTGATTTTTACAGCTAAGAGGTAAATATAAATAACATGATTTCATGAATTGAAAAACATAGATTTCCTCCCAAAGCAGATGTTTTTTACCAAGCTAGTGGTAGGATATTTCAAGGCGAGATTACTGTTCCTATTTCCATTTAAAGATAAAGGGAGAAATGAAAAGAACACTTTGGTATATTTGTATTTTGGCTGGTAAGTGTTGACTTGTTTCTTTGACAGCTTTTCTTTCACCTAAGGTATTTTGGATATCCAAACTGCTTTTATTAAAATTGTCTGTGTTTTTTTCCTTTAAAAGGTTGAATGGTATAAGCAGATGTTAACTTTGTAGGGATTTTTTTTTGTGTGTGTGTGCATTTTGGTGGCTTTTTTTTGTTTGTGTGTGTGGTTTCTTTTTGTTGTTATTGTTCAGTTTTTAAGTTTCGTTTGGTTGGGTTTTTTTTTTTAATTTTTTTTTTTAATTGAGTGAATTAGTTAATTTTGATCTTGATGCTTACATACCTTTTCTTTCCTTTCCTTTCCTTTCAATTTTCCACTAGTAGCTCCAAAATACTATGAAATATGACAGACTTCAGACTCAGTGATGTCAATGACAGGAGGAGGAAGTAGAGCATTCTGCTGGTGTAGACCTTATAAGAGCAACAGAAAAGTTAATAGCTCTTCTAAATACTGGTCTTTCTGAAGGCTACTTCATGGAAGTATGGCTCACATGGAGTACCAGATCACAGAAGAGCTTACAGCTAAATCTTCTGTCTCTTCAGTCATCTTGGACAAACACCAGAGCTCATCTTGATCAGATTTGGTTGCTCGAGAAAAGATCTTGTCTGAAAACAGGATCTAATGAACATCTGAAGCTCTCTAAGATTTTGAATATTCTTCTCTCAAGAATTGAATACCTGTTTTTTCTGACCGAGTCAGGGTTAAAGGCAAGCATTTGAATCCTTATTAGCTTTTTATCTGCCCCTGAAGCAGATGTTTCCACTTAATTTCTCTTTCCAGTCTTTGCTCATTAAATCTATGGTCCAGATGGCACATGAAATGTTACCCAGCATTTTTAGCAGCATCTGCAGCCACACAATTGGATTTCCTTAGATCCTGCCCAGACAAAAAACTTGTCCTATCTCCACAGGGATTTGTGTACAGTTTTTAGAGCCTTCCAGACTTGAGGTTTCATCTTTTATCCCCTCCATAACCATAAAAGCAGAGGTTATTGGTAACTGGCAGATGCTCAGTTTATGAAGTGAAAACCGGTTTAGAATAACATGTGTGCAAGTGCCCGAGGTTCAATACTCAAGGTAGTAAAAGAAATTTAAGTTCACATTGTGTGGAAAAGAACTTTTCTATTGTTTCTATTGTTGTTTGGATTTTGAAACTAAGTATGAAAACCTTTCAGTGTTCTGTGTTGTCCAGTGATATGATATATATAGCTGATTTACCTCAGAATGATTTTCAGGCCCAATGAAATACTTCAATCCTTGTTAATACCATAGCACAGGTGTTTTATAGAGTTTTATGTTTCTAAATTAGTTAGTGACAGTTTATTTTCTTTCTTTCCCAGTTTGCTCTTCTTGGTGTGTGTTGCACTAAATGTCGCATTGAATTTGTGACTCTGCGAAGCCATCTATTCTGCAAAATTTTAAATGCCTAAGAGGTCTTTTTTCTTCCTGTTCTAATCTTAATAAAATGACCAGCCCTTGCTACTTACCTGGATTCCTTGGGAGCTTCAGCTTTCCCCCTGATCCCTTCTTTTGTTCTCAGAAAATTTGATCATTAAACAATTAGACTCCAGGCAGAACAGCAAATGACGTGTATAATAATGAGGTCAGAAGCTCCCACATACAACCTGTTGAGTCTTCGCAAAGGAGTTATGTCGTGCTAAATTATCTGCATGTGTTCCTGATTGTATTCTGGCAAGGATGAATGAGAGGATGAGCATAATGGAGATCTTTAATAGAAGAGATGATGGACACATTCATTCTGGTGAATCCCACTCTCTGACAGAACTGTGTCTGCTGCCCTTGCTAAATCAAATTCTTTGTCAAATTAGCAGCTCAGAGAGCTGCCTTGTAGGCTGCAGAATCTGTGCTGGAAAAGGATTTCCCATTTTGGTTTGATTCTGCCACGTAATTTAGCCATCTGTTAACTGATCTTTGAATTACTCTGTGGATATGTTTAGTACTGCACCAATTCTGAAGGAGCTGGGATTTGACTTCAGAGGTGCACGGGGCTGCATGGTTCTGTGACCATGAACATAAGTGTGTATGTAGTGGTTTTGATTGTTTGTGACATCAGTATTTCCATCATCCCCCTTTCCAATCACAGTCCCTAAGAGCTGCTTTCATGCTTTCTGAGTGCAGAGTTTCAGAGTACAGAACCGGATCTTTGCCTCGAATCTGCATCAAAGCCAGACTGAGTCTTGGGCTGTGGCACTGGGAGAGGCGAACTCGGAAGGTTTGCGGAATAAAATTCAGCAGCTCCGGAGGCTGATCATGGAAATCAAAGAGGAGAGATCATCAGATGAAGCACGACAGTTTTTCCCTTCATCCCAGTTAGACAGTCTAGGAGAGCCGCAGTTAACGAGTAAGTGCGTGTACTCATTTTATGGAATGGTACAATAAAAGTGGCCCAGTCTCTGTGGCAGTTCAGATAGTGTCACAAGCAGGGTCCAAAATGTCGTTCAACTTCTTGCTTGTCAAAGTGCAGTTTAGGGGAAATAAACTGATGAGAATTTTGTTTAAATTTTTTTCCCTGATATATTTTGATTTATGCACATAATCTTCAGGGGAACAACTATGTGATTTCTGTGTTTCTGAGTTTTTCTCTCTAACTTATTTTATTCATAAGAATTAAAGCATTTTTTTTCCTCTTATGTGCTATATGGACTACTGTTTAAAATATAGTCTGATAATGTTAATAAATTTATAAATCTTTAGAGATACTTAAACCTAGTATCACAGGATTGTTCTATGTGATGTTAAAGCAGTCTGGGGATTTGAATGCAAGTAGCCATATGTTGAGTTGTATTTGGTGCACTGGAGTCAGAAGACTCTATTTCAGTTGCCTGGTCACTTAATCGGTTCTGTAGCCAGCATATTCATGAAGGTGTTTCAGGCCAATATGCTACTGGCAGAGTTCAACTCAGAAATTTGTTAAAGCTCCATTAAAAAACCCCAAAAACCAATTTTCTTTTTCTTTTTGACCTTTCTAAGCTCTGCAGCTGTAATTTTCCTCACACAGATGTGAATGAATAGCTACACTAATGAGAACGGTGTGAATCTAGACTTAGCAGAATCATGTTTTTATGGAGCAGACACAGCTATAAGTTTGGGGTGATTTTTTTGTTCATGGGTTTTTAATTTTTTTTTTTTAACAAAAATCTTGCTCCAGTTCATATACTAACTCAATCCTTCCCATCTGACCAATTTCTTCTATACTGACCAATATTTAATGATGCTTACTGGAAGCAGTGCAAAAATGTCAAGAAGAGAGAGTTTAACTTCTACAAGTTCATTGAAACTGTACTTGTTATCCAATTACTTTGTGCATCAGATGAACAACTAAGTGTTACTCACCTATCCCTCCTTGCTTCCTACTTTTCTGTTGTTGCATCTCTGTGACTTACTCCTTTATTTTAGCACAAGAAAATATAGCCCTTTGCAATAGAACATAATTCCACAATGGATTAAAGTGTTCCTGCTACGTAAGAAGAGGAATTAATGTATTTATTGTCCAACAAATAGAAGTTGGGCTTATTGCTTTACAATTTGTTTGTAGATCAATAATGTGTTTATATTTTACTATATTAACCTGATCTACCTACTTTCACTAAACATGGAGTTTGTTTTTAATGTGATGACATACCTACTTAAAAATTACTTATGAGACTTAATATTTTTCCAACACATATATAGTCAGTCGTTGTGACTGAAAATCTTACAAGTAACCCCTCCATGAAAACCTGGGTTTTTTTTCCTAGTTTCCTTTCCCAGCAACAGAAAGTTTCTATTAAGAAAGAAGTCTTCTTCAAAAGTAGCCTTTTTTCAGGCAAATATTGCATCCAAGTTTGCTTTGCCCATGAGTTTCTAACATAAAAAGTTACTTCAGTGGCAATGGCAGTAGTTACAGGCACATGAAAGTTTTACAATGTATTAGAAAATACGACATGGAAATCAAATTATCTCTAATTTTTCTTTTTCTTGACCTTTAAAGGTATTCAGAGAATTGCAAATGAGCCAAAGCTGGAGTTCAGTCTTGGTAAGATACAATTTTGAATTTTTGGAATCATAATGGCCTGTGTGTGAGGAGTTTTTATATATATAGTGTTATACAGTGTAGCATGTGACCTGTTTAAAAAAAATGAAGGTCTAGGTGGGAGAAGTGCCTGTGCATGCCTTTTGAAATGCTGATTTTAGTTTCTTAATTGGTTGGAATGGCTAAAGGTTTATTGAATTCTCTAGTGCTATGCTGCTCTACCAGGGTGAAAATCTGCTCAACAGCTTTGTGAATGTAGTTTTTGAAATACTACTTATTTGGAAAAAGACATTTAATTTGAAGATTTTGAAACGATATTCAGATAAAGGGACTGTTGCTTTAGAACAAACTTTAATCTAAATGTGATGTTATTTGGTAGTGAGGAGGCAATGTAACTGTTTTCCTGACTTTGCCATTTTATACTTAGTAATACTTAGTATACTTAGTAACTGGTATATGAGAATTATATTGTTATAGTATGTAGCAGAATTGTTTTGGGAGAGGTTCTATCAGCTCAAGTTTCCCCTTCCATTTAGAGGTACAGAATGATTCAGATTGCTCAGTAAGTCAAGCAATCTTTGAATTGAATAATGGTATATTTGTCATACAAGGTCAAGGAGCACAATATGTCAGCCCAAACTGTGCAAAGCAAGCCTGGCTACTTTTCACTGTTCTTTCAGTGCAAAAGCTTTGAAGCATTTGAAATAGTAAGTGAAATAATTATTTGCTGTAGAAGCACTAAACACAATAATTCCGTGTGGGAAATAAGTATGATAACTAGGTTTAGTTGATTAGTGGCTGGACTCTCTTCTACTGAAATGATCCTGTGATTATTCCCTGCTCCTGTGTATGGTAAAAGAACACAGTCACAAATAGTGACTTTTCAAACATTTCATTCTATGTGCTGTCTGCATTCTGAACTAGAACATGTCAAATTTGTTATGATGTTTACGTCCGTATGACCTGCGAATATTTATCTGATGTTGTGTAGCTATAAACAGAGAAACTTTTACTCAGTGTTATTCAGTATCTGTTAAATTCACTCTGGCGTAAAAACTTTTATAACATCTGTTGCAAAAAAATGTCAGTGTAAGAGGGAGAGGGAAATACAGATAACTATGAGAAGACTATTATATAAATATCAATTAGACTGCACTATTTGGAGAATTTAAATAGTCTACAAACAAATGTCCTTCAGAAACTCCAAACACACCAAACAGGATGGCATGAGTGATGTGGCTTCTGTGGTTCTGTTTTTGCCCCTTGCATTTTGGGAGCTTCTTTCCTGGCCTTGTCCTTGGAACTGGGTTACACTCGGCTTGTGTGCTGCTGCAACTACACTGATTGAAAAGCTGACACCTTAAAGCTGTGCCCTTTGTATCAGACACAGTTCTATTTGATACAGCCATTTTTAGAATACCTTAGATTTTATCTATGTATTTTTTTATCTGTATGTCTTTTAAAAATTAGATAGTTATGGCATCACAAAAAATTTTGTTGAGTAGGTAATGGAGTTTTTTTCTGTATAGACTATTTCTGCAGAAATTAAATGTTGGCATGGAACAAAGGCCTCCTTCTCTGTTGGCAGGAGATCATCATGGTATAATAATTGTTAAGAGCAGATTTAACTTTTCTGTGCATTTCTATTTACATCTTATAGGTGATGTGACTGTAGTACTTGGGCAGAGCCAGTAATTGCAGCATTCCAGCAATAACAAACTCTCACAATGACTAGTGTAGTGTAGGAGAGGGAGGAAGGTGCTACAGGCACTGACTACAAATTAGATGAGCAGTGCTTCAGGAAAAGTTGCTTTCAGTGATAAATGTGCCCCAGCAGGCAGAAGTGTAAAAACAAAGTAAAGCCATTTTCAGACTTGTTTGGACTCGTGCTGGATGGATCTCTGTTCACTCAGCGTCAGTATTTGTGTTTTGCATTGGGCTGTTTCTAGTAGGCATTTATGTTCTGTGGTTTGTTCTGCAGCATTATAGATTGAGTCATTGCAGCCCTGTAAGGGATTTTATACACTGGATCCTGCTGCTGCTCAGGTAACAATTAGGAGTAGCAGCATAAACCTCTTGATTTTGGCTGATACTCCTGTCCAGAGTCGTAAGTCAGGGATATTTGGCAATGCAGGCAAATGTATAAAGGTGATTCTTAGTGTCTTGAATCTTAAGTACTACTAAATGTTTAAGCATAATGCATTTGCATTAGGGGAATCCACCTTTAGCGACTGAACAGTGAATGAAATTCTTAGCAGTTATCCTTCTTACTGGAATATCAACATTCCCATGCCAACACTCCCTAGCTCCGGCAACCCCAGTCACCAGCACTGTGCTGTTGGTTTGTACAAATGTACAGCAGACACCTCCTGCTGATGAGTGACACAGGAACAATTTAGCTGGGAAGTATGCACCTGATGTGTGGCCCAACCAGCTAAAATTCCCCTGTGCTGTGAAGATGCCCCTGTGCTGTTCACCTGGTTACTGGCAGGGCTGGAAGGGACTCTGCAGCCTGGCCTGTGCATCTGGGGAACACCACTGCTGCTGACAGGCCAAGGACACTGCTTGACTGACACCATCCTTTGAGGTATTTTATCTAATTAAAGACTTGGCATTCACTTCAGCTAATTAAGGTCTTCCAAGGTCTCTCTCTGAGACGAACCAAAGCAGGGATGAGAGAGGAATTTGCTGCAAGCAAGTGCCACAGGTATGATGTGTGCCTAGCTTGGGTAACCAAATCTTTAGGGCTCTGTAGAGACGTTTCAGCTTGATTAGGCTGGTATTTGGCATTTAGAATTTGGAAGGCAAATCTAATAGTAAGATTTATAAAGCTGGTCTCTAGCCCTGAAAGAATGGCTTATGCCTGTAATTTTGTTCATATTAGTTATATAATCAATATTATTATATTAGTTAAGTAGCATACTTACACGTATATATGCAAAAAGACATTTTCTTCTATCATTTGATGTACAAATGTGTTTAAATATATTAAAAAATTGCAACATCTCATAATTGTAGTTTAAGTCTCTTGTCATTTGTTGGTCAATAAATAACATTCAGAAGTGGAGCTCCAGTAATTAAACAAAATATAGCTTTTAAATAATATTTGAGTGCTGCCTAATACATGAGTTTTATTTAGGGACATTATAACTAAATACTGCTGTTCAGTGTTTGAAGTTCTGATAACTAAATTTTGAAATAATGATATTAAAATTCTTCCTAGGATTTTGTATTTTGTTGTGGTAGTTACCTTGCAACATACTATGTTCATAATACTCTGGAAAGCATTCTCTTCATAAAATGTCTAAATATTGCCTTCTCTTATTTTATTTTAAAGTGCAATAAAGTGGTATTTTTTTCTTTTCCCCTGAGGTTAAAGGAAAGAATAAAACTCACCTGAATTACAGCTTCCACTGCATTACACTCAGCATTTTCAGGAGTGTGCCTGTCTTGTAACATAACTTTGGAGTCAGAGCATCCTTTAGACAAAGATTGTTGTGTTTTATATTCCTGGGGACTCTTTGGAAACGTGGGTGATTTCTGAACTTTGCAGCTGCTGCTAAGTTTACCTTTTCAAACTCTGTCTTGTTGTTTGGCATTTTGAGTGCCTGTGTTCTGCCTGCAGTTCCATGAAGCATTAGGAGGTAGGATAAAAAGCCTATGCAAGGTGCTGAGTAGAGAGGAGGAGCAGAGCAAAAGGAATGAAACCAAATACTGGGCCTGAATAACAAGCCAGTGAAACTGATAAAAATCTTTCCTATGACTTTGAAGTGTGCAGGTTTAGATCTGCTTATTTTGAAGCTGCTCTTCTTGGTTGCTTCTCCAAAATATCCCAGCTCTTGAGTCCCAGATCTAACTAAATAGGTTGTGGGTTCCTGACTTCAAAGTAGTTGTGCTACCTCAGTGTGAAGTATGTGAGCCCAGCTGATGTATAAGGTTATAGTTATGGGAGATAAATTATATTGTGCATTTTGATGAACACTTTTGTGAAGTTTTCAAGAGCTTGTGCTTCTAAGGGTATTTGATAGTGAACTGGCAAAGCAGCACAAGAAAACTGCAACAATCAGAAAAATGAGGGAACAGGGTAGAATGCACAATTGGTGGTCAAAGTGCTCAAACGTGAACTTGGTAATGAACACGATGTTAATAGGGAGAAATAAATCAGAGGGAAAAAGGAAATAAGTTTCTTAGTTAGTCTCTCTATAACCAACACAATTTTAGTAGTTTTGCATTTGTCTAATTGCTTAGAGTTGTGAAGAGAGGGCAAGAGATATGCTGGCTGTAGTATGGTAATAGTAGCCAAAATAACTGTATAGAAAAAAATGTCTTTGCACATATTGTAGCATATTCAGGTGGTAATTTTTATGACAGCACCTGTCTGACATTTCCAAAAGTGATCTCTTTTATTGCAAATATATTAGGTCAGTGAATTCTGATGGACTGTTCTATTGTTGAATAACCTCTAGGTACTTTTCAAAGTGTAGAGTAATATAAATCTTGTGATTGTGTTTTTACAAAATCTCATTAAATAGTGCACAAATCACATAAAATTGTACTTGAAAGAATTAAAATTAAAAATTTCTAGGCTTTTTTTAAATTCTTGTTTACTAAATAGTGGGTTGATACAAAAGCAGTCTACCTGTAAATGCCAAAATTTTCATTCTCTATGATCTTATTTTTCCCCAAGTGATAGTGTGATGCCATCCCTTTGGAAAAGGTCTTGAAGCAGATTTAACTGTGCATACTGAACATAAATGGTACATTGACGCTGCTCAAAGAGCATGATTAAATGATTTTTCCAATTCTGAAACATAATCTGGAACTTTTTCAGCAGCAGCTTATCATTTACTAGAAGAATGATAAGCAGAAAGACTTGTTTTATTCTTACCACAAATTTGAAGCCAGTCTTGATCCTAGTAGAATTTGCCCATTTGGTTATCCTTCTGCTTCATCAAGTTATGAGCTGATGAATAAATGATGCTTTGTTGTGTTAGCCAAATAAA